CCATATCTGCATGTGACCATGCGAACACATCGATATTCTCTCTGAGGAAGCTGGTCAGTTCGGTGGCGAGCTGGGGGTTAAGATTGCTCCCAATCCTTAACACTCTGCTCGGCTCACTCTGGTCGACCGATACTTCAGATAGATCATCAACTGGCCCACTAGAAGGGCATTCCTGAATAATAGGATCCATATTATCCTCGACTAGGCCAAGCTATGGCTCGATCCGGCTAATCGCCATTGCTTGTCGGGGAATGCTGCACGAGATGCCTTTCCCTTTGCACGCCATTTATACTGTTTTTACATAACAGTCGCGAGATACGTGCTGAGATCCGCTGACTTCCCCTATCCCTGTCGGGATGGGGAACTTCATCTTCAGATGGTATATCGAAGTGACTACCTTGAAGTTTCTCAGCAGAGGTCGCCCCAGGATACTATTAAAAGCGGATGGGCAATCCACTACCAAGAATTCAGTTACCTTGGTGACTTCATCAAAGTCACCCAGCGTGACTGGGAGCAAGATCGTTCCTTTGGGGATCAGGTGGTCCCTTGTAAAACCATATAAGGGGATCGAGGCAGGCTTCAGGTCGGCCTCGTCCAAGTTCATTCTTTCGAAAGCTGTCTGAAACATGATGTTCACATCACTTTCGTTGTCTACCAACATTCTGTGGACGTTATGGCACCCTATCAGGGGCGTGATCACAAGAGCGTCATCGTAGGGATGATGCAATCGAACTGCATCCTTTTCGGAGAAGGTAATTTCCTCCTCCCTGCGAACCTTTTGTGGTCGCCGCGTCGTGCTCATCACACTGATGAGATCGTGAGGGGCTGCACGAGCATATCTTTCTTGGGCACCTCGCGAGTTCCCCGCGAGGTACGGTCCCCCAAAGATCAAATTGACGCTGCATATACCTTTGCAATCACGATGCTTCTTTCTTGGTTCCCCTTGATTTTTCTCTTGTGCGGGAGTGGAGTCATCAATATATTCCTTGAAATGCCCCTGCTTGATGAGGTCTTCGATTGCCTGTTTGAGAGCTCGACACTCATCGGTGTGATGCCCATTATCCTGATGAAAGTGACAGTATTTTTTACTATTTCTGGCTGATGGGGGATTTTTCATAGGCCCAGGCTCTCCGAGCAGGCTGGCCTCTTCTGACTTGTCAAGAATAGCTGATACAGACGTATTCAAAGGCGTATACTGATTTATTTCGCGATCGCGACGAGGAACTAGAGCATAAGACTTTTTGGGCTCATAGCGCGGTTTCTTTCCTTTTCGTTGATAGTCAGTAGCCCATCTGCGATCAACTCTCCTACTTTCCTCCCAACCAGGCGCACTACCTGAAGCGCCAGCGGTGGAGCGCTGCCACATAATTTTCAATACAGAGGTACTTCTCCGCAAGGTTATAGAAGCGGGTGAGGGCAACATCATCCTCAGCCTGTAACTCTTTCCATAGGTCAGTCTGTGGGCGAACTCCCACTATGATGAAGTCCGAACAGACTCTTCGGGAGTGTGAGCTACTTTATTAAGTTCTCTGTGGAATCGGTCTATGTAAGACTGGAGGGATTCATCCCCATCTTGCCTTATATTGCTGAGGTAGCTCAAAGGCATTGAGAACTTTCGGTTTGCTTGGAAATACCTCAGGAACGTCGCGCTCATCTGAGACCACGAGCTAATCGACCCTACTAGGAGTGACCTGAACCATCGTTTGGCATGAGAGGTTAGAGTTACTGCCAAACAACGGCACTTTGCCAAATCTGAAACCTGGTGAAGCTCCATCAGGTCATTGAATTCATACAAGAGATCCTGCGGATCAGAATTTCCATCGAACGCCCGCATATCAGGCATTCTAAATCTTGATGGGAAAGGGGCGGCTAATACTGTGGGAGAAAAGGGAGAAGCTGCTGCGACCTGCCCTTGCTCGTTTTGCTGAGCTTTCAACTGATCTAGAGCTCGCTATAGCTCCTCAATTTGAGGCAGCGGAGCTATTTGGGGATTGCTTTCGCCCATGCGAGTTTGACCCTCACGATTGCAATTAAGGAAAGTCCAGAGGTCAGATTCCTTTTCGCCTCGGTCGGCAGTTCCGACCGCTCTTGACACCCGCTGGCTAGAGCCGTGTGATGGCGATGAATGGTGCAGGGAATTTTCACGACCTCCGCGGTGGTACGAATCGCCCCGCGAAGTGTGGGAACCTCTCGCACGACTATGATCAGGATTGTTTCTCTGACGGTGATGAGAATCGCCCCGCCCATCACTTTTATAGGGGTGTTCATGCGACGTGGCATGGGACGGCTCAGGCTGCGACCTTTCACCGAGTCTTAATGCCATGGGTATTCTACTCGGGACGTGGTCGGTGTTCGCCGGCCCTTTGGAGCCCATAGGCTCGTTTTTTGCCATTTGCTTACCCTTCCTTCGGCGTGCTGCAGTGCTCGCGCCACGGGCTATCGCCCTTTGCCGCGCTTTCGCACAACCTGCAGGTGTCTTTGGCGGTTGTACTGCCTCATTTGATTTGGGTGGCATGCCTCGGTCCAAACGGTCTAACCTTCGGTTGACCGTCTGGAGAGTATTGTCGAACCTCTCCAGGTAGCTTCTGATGGTGGAGTCAAGTTGTGAACTTGAAAGGATATCCCTCACGCATTTTGTGGAACCGAAGGTACCTCGGGAGAGGTGTCCTCCTATACTTGTGGGATCTCCTCAGCACCCTGATTGGTTCGCTCAGGTTCAAGTTGGCGAGCCATTTGTTGTTGTAGGACCAGTAAGTAAGAGACTCTCCTGATGAAGGACGGATACTAAATCAAGCCGTCCTTTTAGCCCAAACTGTTGATGCTTGATTTTGACACCAACCAAACGCACGTGTGAAATGCTGAGCTGGCCTAGAAAACACACGTGGATGAGAGAGAGAGAGTAAAAGCAATGGAGAATAGTGTTTAAAGTGGTTCGGATGCTTAAAGAAGCAAATCCTACGTCCATTGATTTTGTATTAATAATTGTGGTCAGGTCGCGTTCAGCGAGCTGACTTACAAGTGATTACATGGGAGAGAGAATGTTATTTTTCTTTAGAGAGATCAACTAATCCCCCAAATGAGAGAGGAGCTCTCAATTTATAGTGAGATGGATTAAGGTTATGATTACTAAATCTATGAGTTGGTGGGATTATCCATGCAAATCCTTCTTTATGTCCCATTGCCCACCTTCTAGAGCGATTTACGTTATTTGGTGCAGGGATTAGACACATGGAATCACTCTAGCTCCTGGCCGGTCTGACGCGCACCCACTGCCCTGACAGGAGCGTGCCGTCTATGCCATTGTGTGACGTGGCTGCCTCTGATTGGCTGCGGACCTACCTAAGCCCTGACTTTTATGCTGACTGGGTCTTGCGTCAGCCCTACTTTTTCAAGCATAACAGATTATAATAGAGAAGATGATGTGAACCGTATATCATACCTAAACGGCTAAACCTTCGATGAAGAATAATTGCAGGCTGTGATCTGGATGGAAAAAATCAAGATGAAAACTTGGACTATGTTCATGTTCGTATAATCTGTTCTCCAAAATTTCATTTTCATTTCCTCTGAATTTGAGAAAAATCCATCCGGTATGGGGCGGGGATTCCTTGCAATAAGCGGGGAGTCCTATAGATAATGGGTTCTGTTTGATACATTATTTAAAATAATATTTTATTTTGAATATGATAGGATATGATTTAATCAAATAGGATATGATTCTGAAAATGTGTTTGGTACATTTTTGAAAAAGATTTTCTAAAAATATTTAGATTATATTTTAACCTCCAACATTTGTTAATTTACTAAACACCCTCCACAATAAAAGTTTATAAATTAACAAAAACACCTCCACCCACATAATCGACTGTCAGTAGCCGTCCACCACTGTCAGACGGTGGTCGATAGTCATTGGAATGGCACACGACGGTTGGATCTGGCCAGTCGTGCACCGATTGGCATTTTCTGACAAAAAATACAACGGATTTGGCCGGAAATAGCTACATCTACGGCCATAATCTGGCCGTCATTAATTGCCAAATTTAATAGTCAAGATATGGCCATGTCAATAACAAGATAGATCTAGTCATTAACGGCTAGATCCCTGATCGTAGGTCTGATTGTTTCTTGCCAGATTCATGGTGGCGGTGGTTTCGGTGTTGGCGGCTGACAATGGTTGTTGGCGAATGACTATTGCTTGGATAGATGGATATGCTTTTGTTAATTTATAAATTTTTATTAAGAAGGATAATTGTTAAATATTTTGAATTGAATAATATATGATTAGATTTTGAATTGAATAATCGATATTAAAACTAACAAGTTTTTCACTTTTTCAAATAGAATAATAAAAAAAATAAAGTTTAAAAAGTAAAACAAAGTGGGGAAGGATATCCATGTGGGCCCAATCACTTCAACACACCCAAACAAAAATGGTACAAATTTCTTCCACTCATGTCGTGTACTCGTGTTTTCTAAGATTATGCAGGTAGACAAATAAATTGAAATAAACCTTGTATTCTATGGACACATTCGCTGAATTTAATTTGATTGAATTGATGTTGGTGACATGGGGATCTCGTGGAATAATTTGTGTGAAGAAAGCGAAAGGGTTGAATAGTCTAATCAGGCCAACCGTCACATTGGCCGTAAATGCATCTTATCAAAATTTCTGTGGCTGCAAAACCCGCCCAGCGGTTTCAATGTCTCTTACTTTTTCACTCTTGCCTGCTTTAATATCTCTTTCCTGTTCAATTTTTGTCTTCTATAGTCTTTGCACAGAGAAAATGTGATACACAAATAAAATATTGTTTTATAAAGATAAAATTTTGAGGGCCAACTAATGTGTTAAACATTCATCTTGTGGGATTGCTGTGCGTGCATATTACTAGAGAGACACGTTTTTATTTGAGTCAAGAATTATCTGTTCCTATATGTGTCAAAAATCTTTCCTTCTAGTTCCTATAAATAGGGCTGAAGAAGAAGGAAAGGGAAAAGGAGATAGAGGCATGGCTTGTGAAAAAAGCAAGATACTGATAATTGGAGCAACTGGGTATCTTGGGAAATACATGGTGAATGCCAGCGTTTCTATGGGCCATTCAACCTTTGCCTTTGTTCGTCCTCTCAAGCCAAATGCTCATCCTTCCAAGCTACAACTTCACCAAGAATTCCAATCCATGGGAGTCACTGTATTCCAAGTATTTCTAACTTTATAATTTCTATATTTATTATTAAATAATACATATAAATCTTTATCAATTGATTCAAGACAATGCATTAGTTTAAAAGTTATTGACTTATAACTCTATCTAATTTCTCTTTTCAATCATTGGATTTGTATTAAAATTTGTGAACTTAACCTTTCATATAAACTGACATTTAATTGATTTCTTATTATAATATTATCACTTTATACCATAACAGTTATGTTATATAAAATTTATCTTAAATAATATGTACCTATATATGAAGAATTTTGTAGTACAAGGGCTGAGTGTATTTGAAATTCTTTTCTTAAATGTAAATATGTCAGATCAAAATATTTTATGGCTGTTTTTGTACTTTAAACAAAGTCATTGTAATTTTTTTTTTTTTTTTTTTTTGGGAGTTTTGAGAAGTTTATACAGAAAATGAGATAACTTCAAATTATAATAATTAAATAAAATTTATGAAAATACCTTACTGGAAATATTTAAACCTCTTGATACTTTAAAGATGTTTTTTGACAATAACTACATATTTCTTTATTTTCTTTTCTCTTATCTTTCTCTCCCACCTTTCACCTTTGTTATCCAGGAAAACTTGAGGGTGGTTGTTGGAATTACCCAATAAAAGAATTTTCCTTATTTATTTTGATTAGTCTATTTATATGTTTCTTCTAAAAAAAAAACACTACCGAGCTCAATAACTTCAATTCATGCATGCATAAACAGGGAGAGATTGATGAGCATGAGAAATTAGTTTCAGTGCTTCGACAAGTAGATGTTGTGATTTCTACTCTTGCAATTCCTCAACATCTTCAACAACTCAAATTAATTTCTGCAATAAAAAAAGCTGGCAACATAAAGGTGCATGTTTTTCCTCGATAGTCTTTCATTTTATAATGCATTGCATCAAGGCACATAGAGGAAAATTGAGAGCCAAATTTCTCTCAAAGTTGAATAAAAGAATTCATACCGATACCTACGTATGAGACAGTACAATTCTTTGTTAATTAAAAATATAATTATTTTATCATATGTAGAGATTTGTTCCATCGGAATATGGTAATGAAGTTGACAGGGTAAGCGCACTCCCTCCTTTTGAAGCTGTGCTTGAAAACAAGAGGAAAATTAGAAGGGCAACCGAAGAAGCTGGAATATCATATACTTATGTCTCCGCAAACTCATTTGCAACTTATTTTGTCCATTATCTTCTCCATCCAAACGAGCAACGCAATGAAGTTATAGTTTATGGAAGTGGTTTAATTAAGGGTAAGTAAGTTATTCTATTTTATATAACAATTCTCTCATGAAAGCTCTCGAGAAGTAACACGATATCTTAAAAACAAAAAAAAACAAAAAAATAGAATATTTACTTTCATTCATTAACATCCATATTAAAATGTGTTGAAAACAGCTGTGTTGAATTATGAGGAAGATGTTGCAGCCTATACAGTCAAAGCAGCAACAGATCCAAGGGTTGCCAATCGTATAATAATCTACAGGCCCCCAGGGAACATTGTATCACAATTAGATTTAATTTCTGCTTGGGAGAAGAAAACCGGAAGAAATTTGAAGAAGATTCATGTTGCTGAGGAAGAAATCATAAAACTTTCTGAGGGTAAGTTTCCTAATTGAACTAATTTATCTTAAACTAATAATATTATTATTATTTGAAACATCTATATAATAATTATGAATCTAATTTTTTTTTTTTTTTTTTTTTTTAAGTGTAGTCACACCACCACCGGGGAATGTCCCTCCTGCAATTTTGCACAACATATTTATCAAAGGTGATCAAATGAGTTTTGAACTAACTTCAGAGGATTTGGAGGCCTCCCAGCTATACCCTGAATACAAGTACACTTCAGTTGATGAACTTCTGGACATTTGCTTGGTTAAACCCACGAAGGTCAAATTGGCTACATTTTAAGATTGCATTTGGTTAGGGCTCTTGAAAGATTACACCGGTAATCTATCTTAATAAGGCCATTGTCTTATTTAGTTTAGTAGGTAATAAAAAATTCCGATAATCTTTTATTAATCAAGTAATATGAGAGGTGATACAGGGGTTATGTGATTACCTACTCAAATGGTGATATTTTAATATTATTGTGGTAATCTTGGCTCCGTTTGACTTATTATTTCTACCCATTTTCCCAAAATACTTGTTTGGCTTGTTATTTAAGAAATATTAGTACATTTATTTAATTACTTTTAGACCCCTTAAATTTATTAATTTCATTAAATATCCCCAAAAAAAAAGTTTAAAAATTAACAAAAACACCCCCACCCACCCATACTTGCCAGATTCCGACAATCACTGTCGGTGGTAGCCGGAATCTATCAGAACGGCCTACAAACAACTGAAACTGGTCGGTAATTCACCAATCTGGCCTTTTACCTCGTAATACTCCCCTATTCAACTACCCAATATTATTCCCAAAATCTTATCCAAAATAATAAAACAAATGGACCCATTATTCTTTGGCGGATCTGGCGGGTATTATTTTGGGTCCATTTGTTTTATTATTTTGGATAGGATTTTGGGAATAATATTGGGTAGTTGAATAGGGGAGTATTACGAGGTAAAATTTAAAAATTTACAAAAAAATCCCTAGGTTTGCTACTTTAACTAAACATCCCAGTATATAAAAATTTTGTAAAATGACAAAAACACCCCCACCCACTCATAGTGCCAGATTTCGGCCACTACTGTCGGAATCTGACCGAAAAATAGTGTTACGACGCAGGCCGGTCGGATCTAGCGGGTAGGGCGTCGATATGGCCTTTTCCGGCCAGATCCACAGAAAATGCCAGATCTACGGCTAGATATGACCCTTGACGACCAGATCGATGAATTATCGACTAGTTTCGATCGTTTATAGGTCGTTCTGACAGATTCCGGCTACCACCAATAGTGATTGCCGGAATTTGGTAAGTATGGGTGGGTGGGGGTGTTTTTGTTAATTTTTAAACTTTTTTTCTGGGGGTATTTAATGCAATTAATAAACTTAAGGGGTCTAAAAGTAATTAAAAAAATACTAATGTATTTTGGGAATATGATTAAGAATATGGGTAGAAATAATATGTCAAACAGAGCCCTAATTTTTCTTCCAATTTTACCATTACTTAATAAAAATTCCGGACACTAATACCCTTTTATTGATGTCAAATAACGATTAACCCAATCTGTTGAATGATTTCTTTAACCTCATTAATTAATTAATTAATTAATTATATAAATAATCTTGTAAAAAGCATTTCAGTAGTACCGCTACACTATTTATATGCACAAAGTGGAGCCCGTCTTGACTTTGACTTGATAGCATAATATCTCTGGTTTGGCATTGATGATATAATTGTGGTATATCTTCCAAGTTCAAGTTTGCGTGATGAATAAAGATAAAAAGACATCCTTCTTTGTGTTTTGAATTTTTACGATGGAGAAACTGTTCAATATTTTTTAACATAGAACTAGGTTGACGGTGCGCAATTTGTAATGCCGCAACGCACATCCTTTTTCATATCAAATGCAAACCCGAGACATCATCGCCGCAACGCAAGATTCTGAATGTCGTGGCATGCCTCTTTGTCTCAAACTCATGTGCACATGTGCAAGCTGCCATGTGAACCAATGATACTTCAAATGTCATAACTTCTTCGTTTCAGTTCTGATTCAAAACTGTTTGTTCTCAGTCGTCACAAATTTCCTCACCAACATTATTTTTCATCCACATATTATTTTCAAGCACCTATGACCTGAAAATTTGCCAAACATATCCGTAATTCCAAAAAAAACACATTTATAAAACAATTAAGTCAAATTATACAAATTAAACAAAATTTCCCACAAATCATTTACAGGATATACCACAATCTATGGGATTTTGTTTCACCTCTCCTTGTATATATGCCTCCTTTGTGGAAGGAATAAGACACACATAAATATTCAAGTCATTTGCTTTTAATTATTGTATCAGAGCAATGATTCTTGGCCCCATTCTTTTTGCTCATTTCAGCAAAGCCATTTGATATAGCAAAGTCATTCGTTTATTTTTCTTGCTCATTTTAGCTAAGTTAGCCCCAAGTTTGTTCATTCTTACAAACACAAAAGAAAAATTCTTTTATCTTTTCCATTACACGATGGCAGATAAACAATCCAAATCATATAAGCAATCAATGTCAAAAAAACAAAAGACCAACCCTTCCCATGAAAATCCAAATCTTCCAATGTTTCTCCATCATTTTGATAATCCAGGAGTAGTGTTGGTTACTTAGCCTCTAATCGAAGATAACTTATGTTAGGGCTAAAATCGTCTTGGGCTTGACGAGGCCTATAACGAAATAAACCATGTCATGGCCCAAGGCCTCAACCAATCCCGATTGGGCCTACGCTTAAAATCACCTTATGAAATACCTACTCTATGAGTTGGGCTATCCTATAAGTTAAGCTAAACTGGGTTTCAGCTCATTAGCCTGCAACAATCTATAAATAGGAAATCAGAATCCCATTCTATTTCTCTTCTACTAAGATTCCAATCTTACTCAAACTATTAAACTTGATTTGATAAGGTCAAGAAATCATATTCTTTCATGATAGGGATTATCTCCAAAATAGGACTTAGGTCCTACTAAGATTCCAAATCTTATTAAACTATTAAACTAATCTGATAAGGTCAAGAAATCATATTTTTTCATGATAGGGATTATCTCCCAAAAAAGGGACTAATGTCCCACTAGGATTCAACCCTTTGGATTCACTATAAAACAGAGGCTTGCCCTCTCATTAAAGGGCAATCTCCCATAGTCAATCTACATTACTCAAAACCATCTATTTGCTCCTAAGTTCTTGCTCCCAAGAACCCGACACCTCCGCCGTAGTCCTAGCTTCCGACAAGACTCCTGGTAATTCTTCATCTCCTTAATTCTTATCAAATAATCTCTTTCAGCCTTGCTGACTTGAGCGTCGGAGTGCCTACGGAAATACCACCTCGGTGTTTTCTGGAAGCTTCAAGCTTACCCTTTCATGTGTGCAGGTCTAGCGGATTGAGTGGCCTCAACCTCACGGGATCAGACCCTATTTTCATGACGGTAGATTTTTTGCATCTACAGTTTGGCGTCCACCGTGGGCCCCTGACAATCACCTGCCAACGATGACTTACAACATGAGAGGCGACACGAAACTCCTTTTGACTGACAATGTTAATCAAAAATCTCATCACGATAAGAGTTTTTTTTTTCTTATTTTTCTTCATTTTTTTATCTATTCACATGCCATATTATACTATTCGGCATATCGTAATTTATTTATATTATATCCATTCAGCGAGTAGTATAAGACCTTGAAGCTCATGTTATTGTTCTAAATTATAATAGAATAATAATGTGTCAGGGTTTAAAGTGGTGTTCCTAAACCACTTGATTCATTGACTTTGCTTCAACAATCTCTCTTCTCTAATCCTTTGTTCAGATAAGGCAATAGCTTCTGTCTCGAACCTCTCTGCACGTGCCTTTCACTTCAATCATCAAACCACCAGGTGGTCCGTCAGCGTCATCAGAGCTTTGCAATGCATTACCTGCCACAAAACCAGTCAATTTATTCATTCAAGAAGATGCTACAATACGCCAGCATCTCTAGGACCTCCGCTCCGTTAGAAGGTAACTCAAACTCGACCAGCCTTGATCCAATCCCATTCACTTCACGGAGATTTGCCACCACTTTGAAACGAAACCCGTCCATCTGTTCTCCTAAAATCGCCCTAACAGCTTCTCCAATCACACAGTAAAATCCTAAAAACGCAGCAGTATCTCTCAAAACACCTAAAGTCATCTACTAAACACGAAGAGAAACCCCAAACAAAACCTACTTAAGTGACGCCACCCACTCTCGCCTAATCTCCTTACCCTACCGTATTCAAACTCCAAACTCGAACCATCGCCCCTTCCCAACCAATACATATCAACTCAACCACCTTCACATCACAATCTCCGCACACCTGTCACAAAAGCCCTCACGCCTCCCGCTATTTGCAAACTTTCCACTCCCCACTACAACTCAGCACCACCAAACAAACAGAGTAGTCCACTCAATGATATTTGGGTTTGCACATACAATATCAACGTGCCCATTCGGATCAACCCAAAAGTGAATCATGTGCCCACTCAACTTCAACTAGTTCAGCTCTAACATAGAAAGTAACACCCTCTCTCCCACTCGGTCCAGCAAGCATGGTGGCAGCACTTGAAGGGAAAGGTATGTGTCATTGCCTCCTTTAATTACCACTCTATTTGGTTAAATCTTTCTCTATTCGACCCATTACTTAAATACATGCAGCTCATTTTTCATTTAGCTCACTCTTTATCAGTCCATAACACATGCACATCATGCATATTAACTCTCAATTCGACTATTTGCTAAAACATTCATGCATGCATGTCACTGCTCCAGCTTCAATCGAATGTTTCCAACTACAAAGTCGGTCACGCCGACTGGGCCACAAACCCTCAAAGGTTTCAACTACAAGTCGATCACGCCGACTCAACTGTAAGCTCCATACAAGCTCCACTTGGCATACACCATCGGATCGGCCCTACCCGATTCACGGATTACACCATTGGATCGACCCTACTCGATCCACGGATTTACACCTTTGGATCAACCTTGCCTGATCCCGGATTTACCATTCAGATCGGCCCTACTTGATCCACGGATTTACCCCTTCGGATTGACCGCTGCTCCCACGGATTTACACCTTCAGATTGACCCTGCTCAATCATGGATCTACACCTTCGGATCGGCCTGCCTATCCTCGGATTTACACCTTCAAATTGACCTGCTCGATCCACGAATTTACACCTTTGGATTGACCATGCTCAATCACGGATCTACACCTTCGGATCGCCCTGCCCGATCCACGGATTTACCATTCGGATCAACCCTGCTCGATCCGGG